GAGAGAGAGAGAGAGAGAGAGAGAGAGAGAGAGAGAGAGAGAGAGATTGGCTTTTATATGTATACCTTAATTTGAGTGACACACAAGTAGCCCTTTTATGTTTGTCTGACTATAAATTAGAAACTATACTTTTCTTTAAATAACCTACAGTTTATAAACCCAATGCCACGATTGCTTCCTTGATTATTTTAAATTTGCTTTTTTTGTGAAATGCCAATTTATTGATTGAATTGTTATCAGTTCACTAAATACACTTGTGCTTTAGATAAATTGCTTATTGTTAGGGTTTATAATGACTCAATGAATTTTTAAGTGGGATATTATCTTCCAAATAATAGCCAAAATCGTTGTTAAAACTGTTATTTTGAAGATTAAAGAGAATTTAGCTTGATGATTATTTAAACAAATTCCTGTGCTAACACCATTGTAAATATCAGCTCTGAATGACATTACATATTTCAGTAAAAATAACCCTCTGGTAATGGATTCTTGATTCTTATTCTTTAAGCTTGTTATTAATTGAGATTAGTCTCAGTTGTTTAATTTTTTAACTTCTATGCGTTTGATCAAACTATTCTCTCCACCTTTCACCTGCAACACCTTTTGCCCATCTCTCTATTCAAATCCCAACTTCTTTTCCCTTTTTCTTTTGTTTCAGCTTAATATATGTAGTGTATATCAGCCTAGTATGTCACTATTGCAGCATTCAGTGAGTGTCCAAATGCTTTTTGTCTTTCTAAGATTTGTAATCCAGTTCTTGATTGTTTTTTCTTTCAGTATATGCCTCTAACAATTGCATTAAATGTAAACTTAATAATGCAAATTCAAATAAATTGTTCATAAAATGGGAGGTGGGGGAAAGAGAAAATTTTTAAATAGAAGGTGATTTCAGCCAGGTGCAGTGGTGCATGCCTGTAATCCCAGCTGTTTCAGAGGTTGAGGCAAGAGAATTGCAAGTTCAAGTCCAGCTTGGGCAACTTAGTGACACCCTGTCTAAAAACACATATATATGAAGTCGGGGGTGGAGGAGGGACATATAGTTTTGTGGGAAAGCATCCCTGGATTCAGTTCCAAGTAAAAATTAAAAAGACAGGAAATAAAAGAAAGAAGGTGATTTCATAGTCTCCAGTCATATCTAGTTCCACACAAAACTAATGTTTGGAATGCACAAGAGCTCTCAGACTGGTTCCCTCAGTTGTTCTCCTTAATTGCCCTCACAGGAAGTGAGATCTCAACACTTATTCTAGAGGAGCAAACAATCAATCCAGAAATCCAGCAATCTAGTCCAACACTGAATGGAACATGACCGAACGGGATTTCATGAAAAACTCTCGTCTTCAGCAAGGTTTCTCAAGGGGTTTTCTGAAAATTTTTTAACTTACAATTTTCCTCTGACTCACTGGCTTTATATTCTAACTCTTTCAGTAAATGTGATTCCACTGTATCATGTCATAAATGTTTATTTGCATGTTCAATTTTTCTGTTAAACTATTATGGTAGATTGGGTTAGGGCATTACCTTCTCATTCTCTTTTTCTCATTAACATTATACTTCCCCACCCTTACAATGGCTTGAGTTGACTTCATTATCCTTTGATGTTGGTATTAATGGTGACATGACACAAGCAGAAACTTTAACTGGGCTATTGAATTATGGATTTTCCTCTTGTGTTCTGAGGATTCACCATGAGAATTTCAGGTAGCATCTGATCCAAGGAGAATAAGGAAACACTTGGAACAGTCATGAACAGTCACGAACCCAACCTGCTGTGTGGAATCAAGTCATCTGTCCATTGGATCCACAGCAAAGTAACTGTGGTGTGCCATTGTGTTTTTTTTGTTGTTGTTGTTGTTTGATTGTTTGTTTGTTTTTAATCCACATAAGACAATAGTGATGATGGTGGGGTTGTAATGGCATAATACCTATAGCACAGGCTCCTGTGTGTCTTCAATACATCTGTGTATCCTAAAACAGTGTCTGGCACAGAGTAAGTGCTCTGTAAATATAAATTATTATCATTAAAGTCTTAAAAATGGTTTAATCTCTTTATAAGCAGTATCTCAATGAATAACGAGACAATTTTGTAAAATAAATAGTCATTATTTCCAAGTAGCAGATGGAAATCTGAGACACCGAGTTAAATAGTTTTCTCAAGGTCACGTAGACAAAAAATGGGAACATAAAACTTTGAACAGAGAATTGCTGACTCTGAGTCCACTCCTAAGCAATAACCCATCTTCCTATTACTTTTGCTATGGGCTTAAACTTATAGATACAAGAGCTAAGAACACTAGAATGTCACTTCAGCCCTCTGACTTATTACATATACACCCTAAGGCAGTATGGAACAGAGCTTAGCTAGCTGCCAAAATAGAAGGGGGAAAAGGGAAGCAATATAGGACAGAAAAAGAATAATGTCTCAAAATCTTCTACAACTACTTTAGGATTACTGAGCAACCAGAATTATCTTACTTATGGTTTTTCCTAAGTGGGGACATGACAGCATTTAGTCTGTTTTTGAGAGTTTTCCTTTTCTGAATGTTATTCTCAGAGTTAGTACATAAGACCGAGTGAGCTATTCAACACAAATAATGAACTCTTTCCAAATTAAAATTATTTAATAATTTAACGTGTGTTTGTGTGTGTGTCTATGTGTGTTGACAATAGAATTTTAAGGCAAGTAAAGTGTTCTTTTTGGAACATTGTATTTTCACTTTTATTTCCCAGGAATGGTAAGGTCACTGAGTTTACTTATGAAATCAAAATTTCCCTTTTAGATACCCCAATCTTTTGTCTAATTCACGGTAAATAGAAGAATGTTCCGCTGATAGTTGTTTTCTTAAGCTATCTTGTTTCCCCAAAGGCATTACTGGTTGGATGTAGAAGAAAGAAAAGTCATATAATTTGTACTAAGATCATGGGTATTTCCATAAAGGAGGATTCGTTTTAATATGTCAAAGTTATGTTGGGATAAATGTGAAGTCTCACTGAACAGTGGGATCTGTTAAGTCTTTCTTTTGGATCAAATTGGTAGCATTCTCCCTTGGTAAAAAGAAAACAACAAGTTGTTCTGACTGTGAGTCTAACAACTGGTATACTAGAATGTTCTACATACACCTCTTTCAAGAGAAGAGAATTCCACAAACTGTTAAAGACACAATGCATTATTTTTGACATATTTCTCCATGTTGGAAACAGCTCACTTGAAGCCACACTATACAGTTTCCATATGCATAAGTCCCCAGGTGGAGAAAGAATAGTACTAGTACTTCTGGGATCCCCATGGGCTGAGTTCTTCAGTTGTGTGTTCACATGCAGAGAGATTTGTTCAAGTTCATAAGCACTAGTTATTTTCTTTGCTGTATATATTTGGACTTTAGAACCTTTGAAGAAATCTGGAAAATGAATATCCCACTCTAAGTATCAATGTTCCCACCATAAAGACAATGAGACTAAATCTTTGTGCATTGAGTTTAGAAATCTGTAAAAGGAATAAACTTTCCAAAGTCTTGAGATGTCTGCGAGTTGAAAAGAAGTCAAGATCAAAAGGCATAGTCTAATCACTCCTTTCCCTCCTAGCAGTAAATAAAAAATGGTATTAGGTCAAACCACAAGAGAGGAGGAAGACAATGTTCTCATCTCCTTTGGTGCTCAAAATGGAATTTATGCTTTGTTTAGAATTCAAATGTTTTGTTGCCTTCTTAATTCTGGTAAAAATACTTAAAATTAGAAGTTAGTTTTGGGAAAGATAATGCTCAACTTGGCAAGCTGAAACATATTTTTCTAAATCCCTTGAGAAATCCTACCACTGCACGTATTACAGTAAATATTTGGCATTGAGACTTATCAAGAGCATTTTTCATATTTTTTTCTAATATGGAAAGAATTACTAGAACAAAAGTTTTCCTTTTAGTGGATATGTTATTATTCTGGTAAGACTTTTTATATGTTGGTGTGCTGGCCTTTTGAACTAAATGCCACAAGAAAAAACACTTAGGTAAGCTAAATAAAGCATAAAGATGTAGGAAAGACAACTAAACCAAATATTGAAAAAGAGTCATTTTGAGCCAGATTTCTAATAACAGATGAAATATAAGACTCTTATATGCAAAGATCTCCCTGAATAGAATGGAATGAAATGGAAATGGGACTTATATTGAAAAATACATATAT